GAGCCTGTCCTGGTGCTTTTTTTTTTTCAAAGGCTGCAATCCCAGGATACTGAACTGCCCCATGAGAGCAAGATCCTGCGGGCCCAGCTGCCCCCTGGGCCCCCAGCCTGTATCAGCAGAGGCTGGTGTCCCTTGGTTTTGCACTGATGGAAATCAGCCATTTTTAGCATTTCGGATGAGTTTCAAATCTAGATGAGCTTCTTACTGTGTTGGGACAGCTGACAAAAGCCTCCAAGCACTCGGTTCTGTCAGCCCTGCTCAGGCGTCTACCTAAAATCCACCGGGTCCAAAACAATCCCACGCTGCGTGAAAAAGCACTTCCTTTCGGACTGAAAGTGCAGCTCTCCATGGCCACAAGATGTGGTGGATGCTGACGGCTTAGCCACATTCACAGAGGGGCTGGACACACTCCTGGAGGAAAGGGCCAGCAGTAGCTATAGAGCAGGGGCGGGGGGGCAGCCTCTGAATTACAACTTGCTGGAGGCTGCGATTGAGAGGAGCAGTGGGGGGGAAACCCTGGTCAGACCTGGTTCACGCTCCCTTTCACCATCCAGTCTCTGCCACGGTGTGACACGGGAGACTGGGCAAGATGGACCTATGGTCTGACCCAGTCGATAGTAATTCTTATGAACTTCTGTCAGTGCAAATATTGCTCCTTTCTTTTTCCTTTCTTTTTTTTTCTTCCCCTCCTATTGGCTTGCTATTGGGAGAGAATAGCTCTGCATCCTTGCACGTGTAGTTAACGTTCACCCTCTGCCCTTGCAGTATCTGCCTTGCTTCTAGTCCTCTTCTTTCCCCGTAGTTTTTCCCTTACGGAGATGCCTCCAAGTTTGCCCAGCATGCCTTCCGCACTTTTGACAAGAATGGCGACGGGACGATTGATTTCCGGGAGTTCATCTGTGCCCTGTCTGTCACCTCCCGGGGAAGCTTTGAGCAGAAACTCAACTGGGCCTTCGAGATGTACGACCTTGACGGAGACGGGAAGATAACCCGCCTGGAGATGCTGGAGATCATTGAGGTACACTAAACCATCCTGCTGGCTCTGTACGCGGAGGGTGGGAGGGACTCGGGTCTCGCAACCGGTCCATCACAGTGGCAGGACGGTGGGGTGAAGCTGATCAATGAAATGCAAACTCCTCTCTGTGTTGGCAGCTCGCAGCTGCTGAAATGCCACGTCCCCTCGGGGCTCAGCCACCCTCTTCCAAACTGGCCTGACTTTCCTCCACCCCCCATGAGAACAAAGCCCCCGTTCTCAAGCCCAAAGTCAGCTCTGGGGACAACGGTCCTGTGCTTGGGTCATAAACCTGGTCCCTGAAGGGCCAAGCTCTCTGTGGGTGCAAGTTAGCGCTGCTCTTTAGATGACATGTTGCAGCTGCAGAGCTGCTAAGCTCTGACTTCAACCCAGGCTTGTGCCTCTGTGTCTGAAGGCAGTTCCCAGACAACCCCGCTGCAAACGGACCTTCAGGCTGAATTGCTGAAGGCAGCCAGTGCAGATCCCAGACGCGTCCCTCCCTGGTCGTCTCTTGGCCATACAAGCTGCTGCACTCTGCCAACTCAGTGGGTCTTTGCGCCAGAGCAGATCTCTGGCTTAGCAGAGCAATACTTTCTGCTCCCATGTACATAACGGTCTCTCCCAAAGGTGTTGGGGAAGAGATGGTGAAACGCGGAGGAATCCTGTCCCCAAGGGCAGGTCCCTCCTGGGTGTGGAGGGGGCTGGGACTGGCACATCACTCCCTTTCTCTCTGTCCTCCCTGCCTCAGGCCATTTACAAGATGGTGGGAACCGTCATCATGATGCGGATGAACCAAGACGGGCTGACACCCCAGCAGCGCGTCGACAAGATCTTCAAGAAGATGGACAAGGACAAGGATGACCAGATCACCTTGGAGGAGTTCAAGGAGGCGGCCAAGAGCGACCCCTCCATCGTCCTCCTCCTGCAGTGCGACGTGCAGAAGTAGAGCCCCTCGGGGCCTACCTGGACTGCCCACGGCATCCCCATCGCCACCCCCCCACAGCCATGTCTCTCCCGCCTGCGTCCCAGAGCCGCGCGCTCGCCTCCCCGAGGCACAGGTCTTCCTACCTGCAGCCTTCTGCGCTCCACGCCCCTTGCAGACCACCCGCGACACATGCCAAGTCACAGCCCTTCGAACGCCTCCTCCCTCGGAAACTCCCCACCGCCGATCTCCTGTCCCTCGACCCTGCTGGCTCATCCTGCAGCCCAGCTGCTCTCTCGCCCCTCGGGTTCCCCCATACCAGCTTGGGTCTCCTCCAGACACAAACCCTCCCACCTCAGCGCCTGAAACTGGACTGTCCGAGGCAGTGTTGACCCTGAATGGACAACCTCGGGCTTTCCAGCTCCCTGCGACTGAAGGCAAAGACCCCCCCACTTCCCTCTCTCCCCACCTGTTGTCTTGTTCCATGCGTTTTCAGCCCCAGTTGGCTGCTAAGTTTTTATAAAACAGCAAATTGCCCCTTCCTTAATGCTGACTATTTGCGATGCCCCAAAAGAGTCTGGAGCTCCCCTTAATGCAAGTCCCAGCCTTTTCCCTGCCTCTTCCCACCCAGTATTCAGCCCTTTCCTGGGACCCAAACTGACTTAGCAGCTGTTCTGCTGGGGCTTGGCCTGGCTGAGCCCAGCCACAGCTTACACTGATAAGAAGGCTGCTGTTTTAGTGTCCCCTCCTCCATTTTTTTTTTTAGCTTTTCAGCCTCTCCTTTCCCTTCCACAAGCAGCCGGGGTGGGTCGTCAGGCTCCCAGAGATGAGGGAGCTCGAGGTCTGTGTGGAGCGGTTAGGAAACGGCTGGGTTGAGCCGCCTTGTCCGTGAGATCCAGCGTGGCGGGGCAGGAACCCCCCCACCCCTGCAAGCCGGCAGCTCGGGGCTTCGCCCTACACCAGAAATGCTGCTTTTCTTTCTAAACTTGTCTGTGTTTCAAGACCAGGAAGAAGCCAAGCTCGCACCCCGGCCCTCCACTCCCAGGCTGGCCAGAAGTCCAAGCCACCAGCAGTCATCCACGGGCTGAGGGAGGGGCTGTGGATGCCAACTGTGCCAGCCTGAGGCACCCCAGGTAAAGTCCGTGGTTCACCTGGTCTCCACCGCACCTTACTAGGGGCGCTGGCACATTAGGGCAACTCTTATGTCCAAACAGTACCTTCTCCCTTGGGTGATGGAGGGCAAGTGTGTTGAGACCGACACGCAACGGGAACATCTGGACAGGTTGGCACGAGGGTGGGAAGGCTGTAGGCCCCTGCTAGGGGAAGGCATCCTCTCCAGACACGGCGTGGTTTCTGGGGCAGCCTCATTGAAAGGGTCTGTCGCTCCAAGGAGGGCTGGAAGGGGGCGTAGGGGATGTCAAAGGCTGGCGCGAGGCATCGTGGAAGGAAGGTTTTGGTGGGTAGGTGGTGGCTGAGAGCTGGGATGCTCGGAGGGTAGAGAAGAGAATGGGACAGGGGCCTGGACAGGATGGTGCAGTGGTAGAGACCGCCCAGCCCAGCCTCTGCCGGCTCCGCCTGCGCCGCCTTTTTCCCAGAGAAGGTCTGTGGACACAGGACTGACCTTTCACAGGAGAAACTTCACTGCCCCTCCCCTCCCCAGCCTGCTGCCTCTGCCCCTCCTGCCCCTGGACAGACATTTCTTCACAGGTGTTACCTAGTCTGCTTGTTGTGGTTTGATTATTGTAATAACTGTTAGAAACCCGTGGAGTTGTTCTATTTTTTTAAATGAAAAATAAAGGTGTCCCATACAAGGATTTCCCTTGAGCTGTGATTTAATTTGGGGGCATGCCTCTCTGCCCTGTTGGCTCCCTGGGGGTTGTGATGAGGCAGGTGCCTCCTAGGCTGAACGCTGCTGTGGGCTGGCTTGGAAGCCCACGTCCCAGCCCCCAGATGGAAGTGGAGGGTAGTGGGTTGAGTGTAAAGGGCCCGTGATCCACCGTGGAGCACCCCAAGCAGTGGAAGAAGCATGTGGCCCTGTATGCCACCCATCTGAATGGCCCTCTCTGCTGGGCACCTTGCCTCGGCACTGTGCAGGGCTCTGGATGTCCTGGTTCCTGCCAGCCTCCACTTCCAGTCAGCTTTTTTATTATCCCCATTCATCTACAAAATCCTGATTAAATGATTCCAGTTCCTGCCTGTCACCCCTTGTTTCCCTAACCATCCATCACAGAAAGGTGCTCCTGGGGAAGAGGCTGCTGACGGAGTGGTACAAAGCACAGCAGCAGCTGGCTGGACGCCTTGGGATGGGCCTGTCCTGCTTGGAGCACCCCAGCCAGCTCCCTGCAGGCGGAGGTAGGATGCTAACAGCGTCCAAGGAAGGACGACGCTCCGAGCCAGCTGGCCCGGCGGGTCCGGAGAGACGTTGCTCTGGATGCGCGCTGCCGAACTGCTTGGATCTTGTGTGTGGGGAGACTCTGCAGCGAGTGAACCCATGCGGTCCTGCTCCACTGCTGGTGACCCTCGAGTGCCAGAGGGGATCTTCAGGTAAGATGAGTCAAATGGCCCGTGGGGCTGGTGCGGTCTCTGTAGCCAGAGGCACACAAGGGAGTGACCAGCCGGAGCAACCGGGGCCCAGCTGGAGTCAACCTCGAGCATCTGTCTGAGATGGGTACCAAACCTCGAATCTTTGCAGTCGAGGCGAGACGTTCCAGCTGCTCCACCGCTGTTTCCGGCTCCAGGGAACTCGGGGACCAGCATATTCCAGCGTGAGGAAACATTGTCCTTGGCTGTAAAGCACACGCTCGTGGTCCAGCCCCTGCCTGCCGTGTGGAGGGTGCGTGGCCGATGAGTGAGACGTGCCAGGGCCGTTGCTCCTGGTGTCTCCTCCCGTGCATCTATTTGGGCTCCTGACCTCTAGTTTGGGTGAAGCAAACATTCAGCTCGTGCTCTTAACTCAAAGCTACATCATGGCCTAGCCTGGGTCAAGCCTCTGGAGACATGAGCTGCACCTTTATTTTGCTCCTGGGGTTTGACTGGGCTGCAGCCCAGCAGGACGAAGTGGGCTGTGGGCTCTCTGATAGCCATGAGGTGCTGCAGAGATGCTTTTGGAGTGGGGCAGGCCCAGAAGGCAGTTCCTCAGCCTGCTTTCACACCCGTGCGACCCAGGGTGGGGACATGGCACCTCCCAAGGCACTGGAGCTGAGCTGCAGGAGGGAGCGGTGCTTTCCCAGAGCTGGTTTAGGGGCAGGTTGCATAGCTGGAGAGGAGTTAATTGCACGTGAAGCAGGGCTTGCTTGGTTCCCAAGAGCCGGGCTTGGGCTGCAGACATGGTGATTACCCTGTTTCTGCTCCAGTGAGCGCTCTACTATAGCTTCACGGAGGGATGGCAGCAGCCAGACATCACCTCCTTGACGGAGCTGTGGGGCAGCGGCAGAGGATGTTGGCTCCACAGCAAGGTCTCCACAGTCAGCTGTCCCCCCACTCCTCCTGTACCACCACCACCACCACCTTCTGGTGTAGCCTTCCCATAGCCCCCGCACGGGGGTCCTTCCCTTTGCATAGTTCAGCCCGAAACCTGAGCATAAATTGGTAGGAGAGGTTGGAAGAGAACCCAGGTGTCCTACACCCCAGCAGCAGGCGGCAGCCAAGCCAGCTGATGTTTTTTGTCTTTATTTTTCACACAGTTTTCCTTGGAAAAATGCAGTGACTTTGAGATGAAAGCACGGTGGTGGGAGTCTGCCTGCTTCAGCTGTTAGTGATGGGTGAAAGGCCAAACAACTCGTGTCCCCGCTGTCATTCTGGCCAGCTAGGGCTGGAACGTCTCGGGGGTTTGACCTTTCTAAGACGATATGAAATGGCAGCTTGCCGGTTCAGTAGTTTCAAACCAAACTGGTCGGGACTCTCAGTTTCATGGAAAACTGAAAAACATGGCTTTTCTCCACCTATCTGGAGTGAGAATAAACTTTGAAAGCCCTGGAGTTCCCAAATCCCCACCTCCAACTGGTTGCAGCCAGTAGACGCTTCTTCTCCAGCTACCCCTCCTTCCACCCCTCTGCCAGGGTGCCCACACCACCGCTGGCGTCTCTGGCTTTCTACCCCTCCTGCCTGGCCTGGGCACCCAACTCTTGGCACACCCTGCGCTGTACGGAGCTTGCTACCACCCACGTCTCCGACGTGCTTTGCATTGGGTGCAGCTTGGAGCTTATTGCAAACCCAGTTTGACAGCTCCTGGAGCAGCCACGTGCCTGGGAAGGAAGCTGTTTGGGTCTGGATGATGTCCTTGATGCTAATCGCAGCAAGGGAGCAAAGCCAAGGCAGCTCTTTTGCGTGGCAGCTTCCCTTGGCTTCTGCCTGTGTAGTCATCAACACCGGTTTCTCTGAGGTCTTTGGAGCCAGGCAGGATTTGTGCGGCTTGTACTGCTTTGTTCACACCTACAGGGCAGTGCTCCCGTGAGGCTAGACTTGGTGTCCTCAGGCCCCTGGGTCTGGGGAGTGCCTGCTGCTGGCTGTTTGGGTAACTTGTTATACATCCTCGGTGATGCCAGGTAGCCCCTGTACTGCTTCAAGAGCCAGAGCATCCCTGAGGATGTGTGGGGGTGACACTCCCTTGGCCTCCTCAGCAGCGGGAGAGTCGGAGGCTGAGATCAGCCACAGGCTTGGCCCCCTGATGCTGCAACTGTGAGGTCCCCAAGGGACCAAACAAGAATGCAGCCCTATGGTGTGAGGCTGCTGGGAGGGGTAGGGCCAGGGCTGTACCTAATGCCCCCTCCTCTCTGCAGGCTGTTACCATGAGCAGTGGGTTGAATTCATCCCACCTTGCAGGCTGCTGTCATGACACCCCCTTCCAGCTGCAATCAGGTGCTCTGAAGTGGCCCTGGGACCCCGGGAGGACCTCCCAAAAGGGGCAGATGTAGACTGGCCAACATGGCAATGCTTGAACCACCTGTGCACACAGCCTGGCAGTTCAAAAACACACACAATCAAATGGGGCACTTGAATGACATGAATGCATGTGAGTGCAGACTACGGAGCACCTGCTTGCTTGCCAGCTCCCTGGTGAGACCTGGATGAAGTAGGAGCTCCCCGTGGCAATGGCAAGAGCTGTCATTTGTGCACGACTCTGGATAAGCATCTTGTTTATGACAAGGACACAAGAAGAAGATGATCCAGGGCGTTAGGGGGCCCAGCAATGATGGGTACCACCACAATGGTCTAATATGATGGTTACCAACCTGTGGTCCAAGCTGTCACGGTAAAAGAACCTGATAAGGGCACATCATCCCCATGGCTCATGCATGAGGGGGTTTTTGAGGCTTGCAGTAGCCAGTTGGTCTCACACACTCCAGGTACCACTAACCTGATGTGTCCCTCCACCCCAAAAAGCCAGCAGGAGCTATTCTAAAAGCTCTAGGGCATGTAGTTAATGGGAGGCTGCATCTATGGGACCCTTCAGTCTGAGAGCATTTTTTTTTTTTGTAACATTTTATTAGAAAACAGGCAATATCAAACAGATTTAAAAAGGACCCCAGCTGAGGCCTCACAAAGGAAATACAAATACAATTTCAAGAAATTGCATAATACTCACATGGTAAACAACGTCTCATTCACTTTGCTTAAAACTCCAGTGTTAGAGCAGGTGGAGGGAAGGGCAAACTGGCATGCAGGTCTGGGCTTCTGGTTTGCAAGGGATGGATGGATGCCAGCTAGAGGTGATGCTAGACAGAGGTAGGGTGAGTCCAGGAGCCGTCTTCTGGGAAGGGACTGCTGTGTACATGGACATTGAGGGGGCTCTCCCTGCTCCAGAGGAGTTGAAAGAGCCCCCACGCGTTTGTCCTGTAAGCATTGGCTGCCAGCAGGACCCAGCCCAACATTTCTGATGGAGCTGGAGAAGCAAATGGATCAACCTAAACGAACAGCACCCTGCAGGCCCCTCTGGGAAGCTGTGAGTATCACCCCATTGCTCCCCTGGGGAAGTGGAGGCCCTATTTGAATTAAAAAGGCCGTGGGCCTAGCCCACTGGAGACGCAGGGAGGTGAATGCACTTGCCTGGGGTCATACAGTGAGTCAGTGGCGGAGTCGGGGCTGCCCTGGCTCCCCCCTCACACCAGTGCTTGCTCCCATACGGTGCTTCTCCCTAGTGCCAGGAGCAGGGAGGGGGAGTGAAACCAAGCCCGAGAGACACGGCCAGCAGGGCCCTGCCTGCTCCAAACCCCTCTGGGACTGTCCCTGGGAGAGGAACCGCTCCGAGTACGGACCAGGAGGCCCTCTGTACTCGGACCGTCCCTGACCGGCTCGTGGGCCTCTCCTCCCGCTAGAGGGCAGTGGAAAATGCAGAATGCAGAGAGCTCCGCATCACCCTGGCAGCTCCTCGAGGCACCCTCCCATGCTGCCTCTTCTGCTGCCCACCTTTGTGGGAGTCAGCCAGCCGACAGCCCCCCAACCCCTGCAGCTCAGCTGCGCCCCTGGCCCGAGCCAGGAACATTTGTACAGCATCGAGCACCGCCACGTCCCCGGTGCTGACCAGAGCTCCTGGAGGCTCCCGCAGCAGAAAAACCCGTGGCTCTATTGATGAGCCCCCCCAGCTGCTGTGTTTTTCCTGCTCGGATGCCCCTCCTTTCCAACCTCCTTCCTCTTATCATTTGCTCTCTTCTCCCCGCACGGCCGCTGCTCCCACGACATCGCCTCGTCCAGATAGTGATTGATGGCCAGTTGCTAAGGAACCGCTGCATTATTAGCATCTTAAAATGCTTTTGGTGCGGTAAGCAGGGCCTTGGCTCACTGTCCTCGGCTGGAGCATCGCAGGGAGGTGTCCGCA